GAAGTAGTCGTGGTACTCTGAATAAAGCAGAAAGGTAGAGACGGAAAACTCACAGATTACAACATTTGATGATCCAAATTGTTCATGTAGCTAATAAAGAATAAAAAAAAGAGAGCTTATCGTAGCAACAAAAAATTTCAATTAGTAGCTTTTGCTCTTTTTCTTCTCCATTTGCTTTCCTTTCCCCCTTCTCATAAGTATTTATTTTAATTAACTTGTGTCAATTCAATTTACGAACATAAGCTCATTTGACTCTGTTAGATATATGATCTCTTTTATTGTTTGTGCTAAAAGCTTTAATTTTCTGAATCTGGTACACAAAAATATACGAGAAGGAATCATTTTATCTTTACTTTTGTTGAACAAAGTATTATTTATTGGTAATTAATTGCTATGTCTAGCCCCAACCGGTGGTGCTTACTTAATGAAAACGTATTTTCCACAATAGGTTCGAGCACTACATCTTTTTGACTCTTCACTAATCGGTGGTTAAAAGTGGTCTGAGGATATTACGAGAATAGTAATGTTTCTTATGGATTGATGATTATAAGAGAAAACATGTAACATACGTAACTTCGTCTAACATAACTTCGTCTATGTTTTTGTTATATGTAAATTGAGTATATCTAACAATATGATTATATATTGGTGATAAACTATATATAAAGCTGCTTAATAAAAGTTCAAGGAATTAACGTCAACATCTACACTGACTAGATAATACAATTTGCATGTCAATTTCAAATCCTAAACTAAGCTATGAAAACCACCCCTCTCTTTAATTTTCTTCCAGAGAATCTTAAAATCTAAATAGTATAGGGTTTACTTAGTGACAACGTGTTTCCAAAATAGGTTATCACAACTTCTACATCATTTTTAATTAACTCTTTAAGCCAAGTGCTATATATTAGCATTTTCACAACGAGATATAGAGAGCTGCTTAATAAAGGACCACTACATCATCGTCGACCTTCGTTCTCAGATGGGTTACTCCGATTTGCGTCCCAAGAAACCAAATCCCGAATCTTTCTCCGTCTCCGGCAACAGCGTTCCTCATGGCTGCGAGACCTCTTGTTTCTTAGCGAAGAAGAAGAACCGTGACGGTGGAGTTTTCCTCCAGATTCCGGCGAGAACCGTCACAATTCCCTCGGAGGCGACGGCGAGGATTCAGAGGCAGCAGTCGGAGAAAGCTAATAAGACCAACAACAAAGATCGGACCAGAGGAAATGGTTTCGGGATGTTCGGGTCCGTTTTGAACCGTAAACAAAAACCAGACGTTTCGACCATGTTGTTGATGATATGTGTCACTCTCTGTCTCGCTGTTCGTGTGTCGAACTCAGCTCCACTTTTAAGTATCAATGTAAGTCCGGTATTTTACATTTATTACCCCGTATTATACGTACTGATTTTGTTTTGTTTTTCTTGCTGAAACATGGAAGAGCCCCGACGGGGATATAATAGACTGTGTAAAACGAGAAGACCAACCGTCATTTCAGCATCAGTTGCTGACAAATCATACGATTCAGGTATTCTTTTTTTCTTACTCATTTTTTTTTTTTGAAGAATTTTGTAAAAAACACACTAAAATAAGTCTGACATTTGAAAAATAGATAATTTTTCTTCTTCTGTTGATCAGTTTGAAGAAGAAAAAAATATTAGACATCATTTAGCGACAACTTTTACAAAATAATCTACATGATTTTTTGTTGATCTATTCTTGTGTGTTTAAAATCATGTTCCAGTTTGATAGACGAGCATAACAGTTGTGTACTTTACCTTTCCAAAAAAATTTGTGTACTTTACCTTTCCGGAAAACTTGTGTATTTATCATTCCAGTTTATTTGATTGGTACGTAAATGTTCTCTCATTTCCACTTGTTTCAAATTTATCTATATATACTTGACTGGATTTTATGTTCTAGTATAAATCACACGTTGGTTAAATCCTCTGATGTTGTGAGCTTCTAATCGAATTTAATCTTGTTGTTACCTTCATAAGTATGTTAATTGCAGATTTTATAAAACT